ACATAGTTCACAAATGCAGCATAAACAAATGCAACCCACCTTTACATAGTTCAACAAATGTAGCATAAACAAATGCAACCCACCTTTACATAGTTTAACAAATGCAGCATAAACAAATGCAACCCACCTTTACATAGTTTAACAAATGTAGCATAAACAAATGCAACCCACCTTTACATAGTTCAACAAATGCAGCATAAAGGAATGCAATCCACCTTTACATAGTTCACAAATGCAGCATAAACAAATGCAACCCACCTTTACATAGTTAAAGTAATATTCCACAACACGCATCCCTCTTGGTATGGTGAAATACTGGTTGGTTTGGTTGATTTCTGAGATGACTTCCCCACCCCGGGTCTTTGGGGCGGCCTCCAGCTCACCTCTGGTGTTGAATACTTGCTGAGTGTGTTTGACTGTAAGCTTTCCGTTCACATACTGTTTCAGTTGACAGAATTCCTTCCTTACGATTCACTGTATTCCTACTGCATGGCCTAGGGAGGTTTTCTTTCACAGTACCTGTGGTGGGAATGTGGGCCACCTCCACCACCCTCCTCAGCCTCAGGAAGAGACCCAGCAGGGTCTGGAGTTGGAGTTTTCGGTCACCGCCTCCTGTTTCTTCAGTTGCTTTTGTGTGTCCTTGGGAGGGTGCGGCAGCGACAGCTCCTGGCCCTCCCTCTCAGAGTCTAGGTGGCTGTGGCTGCGGGGCTTTGTCACTCTGGGGAGGCCATAGCAAAACAGAGCTGGCTGTGGAGGGCCAGTTGAGCCTGCTGGCCTGTGAAGGAAGGTGTGTGCTTCCTGTGCCGAGGAAGTGCACGCTGGCCTATGCACTCTGGCCCTGCCTGCAGGCATGTCGCCACGGTTCACCTCTGCTCGCTCCCAGATGCTGGCTGCAGGAAGTGTCTGTAGAAGCAGGGGGCATCCACTTGCTTTTCTTTTCTCCTTGTCCTTTTCCTGTTGGCCATTGTTGACAGGCAGTTGTCTGGCCATTTAGTCAGTTAAAGCAGAGAATGAATTAATGAGTTTCTTGAGTGTTGTAATAAGTTGAGTATGATACTCAGGTTATTGCTTTAGGTTTTTTGTTTTATTAAAAAGTTAGATTTATTTATGTGTACTAGTGTTTTGCTTGCATGTATGTATGTATACTAGGTGTGTCCCTGGTGCCTGTGGAGGTAAGGAGAGGATATTGGATCCCCTAGGCGTGTGAGCCTCCATGTGGATGCTGGGAACCACACCTTCTCAGGCACATCCTCCTAATGGTGGTGTGGTACAGCCCAGCCTCCTCTAAGTAACTGATGGATGTCTAACGAAAGTAAGATTAAAGATGTGCCTGCTGCTCTCCACCCTGCAAATAGAGCCACGGGTGGTCTGAGAACAGAAGTGGGGGTCACAAATACACTGTCCCTCTCCTGCTGTTTACAGGAAAGATAGTTAAGATAGCCACACCAAAAAATAAAACCCGGGCTGGAGAAACGGCCCAGCCGCTGAGAGCACTGGTTGCACTTAGAGGGCCGGGGTTTGGTTCATGAGGGAAAGCGGAGCAGAGAGGAGGCCCTCACTGCTGCAGCCCCAGCCTCCTTCTGAGGGTCCCATGCTTCCTTTGGGAGCCTGTTGTTTACTCTTTGTGTGTGTGGTTCTGTTTCTAAAGGCGTGTGTTCTCTGGACGGGGGATCAGCACCGGCTTGGGCTGCAGCGGATGGAGATGTGCCTCTGCCTGTTGCTGCGAGAGCTCGGAACGGCCCAGCCCTCAGGGAAGCTGGTTTCAGCTCCCACTGGCTCTTGCTAGCATCTGACTTGAGATGCTGTGCTGTCTGTCTGTCTGTCTGTCTGGGTTAGTGCTTACCCCTGAAACATGGGAGCTGCTTTCTGTGTGGACACTGGCGTCTTGCTCCGGCATTCTGCCCAGTTTTATGGCTATTTCTTTGATTTGCCTGCACTTGTCTCTTCCATTTTGGAACTTTCAGCCGGTGCCGGGCAGTATTCCTCCGTCATTTAAACTGATTTCTATTCGGGGGTTTTAGAACTTCCTTCTCTTACTAGATTTTTCATTTTTCTTGTCATTGCTTTGTGTTGTTTTTGGTTGATTTGCACCGCAGGGGATTGGTGTCAGAGCCTTAAGTGTGCCGAATGCGTGCTCTGCCCATGGCCTGCATGTACCCAGCCCCGTCTACAAACGTTGATTGATGGGAGCTGTCCGTTGTCTGTCTTCTTAGATGCAGTAGCTATGTCTCTTTCCTCAAGAGCAAGTAGACCCCAGGTCAGACATTTTTGTGCTTCTGCCTCCTTTCAGGCCTGTCGTCTTGTTAGCTTTTTTTTTTTTTTTTTTTAAGATTTATTTATTATGTATACAGCATGTGTCCCTGCAGGCCAGAAGAGGGCGCCAGATCTCATTACAGATGGTTGTGAGCCACCATGTGGGTGCTGGGAATTGAACTCAGGACCTCTGGAAGAGCAGTCAGTGCTCTTAACCTCTGAGCCATCTCTCCAGCCCGTCTTGTTAGCTTTTATTTCTCGTTTGTTTCTTTTTTTTTTTTTGGGTGGAAGTCTTTGTCCTCTCTGCCTACTGTCTTAGTTAGGGTTTCCATTGCTGTGATGGAACGTTGCCCAGAAGCATATTGGGGAAGAAAGAGTTTATTGACTTACATATCCTGAATCATGGTCCGCTGAAGAAGTCAGGGCAGGAACCTGGAGGAGGAGCTGATGCCGAGGCCATAGAGGGTGCTGCTTACCGGCTTGCTCAATCTGCCTTCTTATGGAACCTGAACCACCAGCCCAGGGGTGATATCCGCCACAATGGGCTGGGTCCACCCCCGTTAATCAGCTAGTTAAGAAGATGATCTACAGGTTTGCCTATAAACCAGCCCTGTAGAGGATTTTCTCAGTTGAGGTTCTCTTCTCTCACGTTTCTAGCTTGGGTTAAGTTGACATGAAGCTGGCCAGCACAGCTGCTTACACTTGAGACCAGCACACAAAAAATGCTTTGGCAGCACTGACTGTGGGTCATGACTCACTGATTTAGCTTTGTTGTGGAGTTCTGGTATTAATTAGCTTTGGTCCTATTTCCTCTAGGTCAGAGTCCCCAGGGAGCAGGAAGTCCTCTTTCCTATCAGTGTGCTAAGAATCTGGGGGCTGTGGACTACTAGGGGTGTCCTCTCAGGCTCCCTGTTTGTGGCTGATGTCCTGTCCTAGGCCGACATTCTGGGGAGACAGGCAAAGCACACACACACACACCCCCGGGACTCCTGAATGTAGCCCACTGGCGTCCTGCTGATGGATGCCAAGTCTCACCACTTGGCAGCACCCACTCTCCATCTCCACAGTGGGTTCCAGCTGCCTAGAGGTGGGAGGAAGTGGCTTCTCTCTAGCCCTGTGGCCTGCAGTGGACGGTGTCTTTAGGACTTCTCTCTAGCCCTGTGGCCTGCAGTGGACGGTGTCTTTAGGACTTCTCTCTAGCCCTGTAGCCTGCAGTGGACGGTGTCTTTAGGACTTCTCTCCAGCTCTGTGGCCTGCAGTGGACGGTGTCTTTAGGACTTCTCTCTAGCCCTGTGGCCTGCAGTGGACGGTGTCTTTAGGACTTCTCTCCAGCTCTGTGGCCTGCAGTGGACAGTGTCTTTAGGACTTATTCTTGTGCCGCCTGCATTACTACATGGGTCAGAAACTTCCAGTTAGGCAGCTGTGTTTGTAAACTTCTAACTTTGTGTACAGTATTTGAGGCTTCAGGACATACATTTTTCTCACCACACAGAGAACATAGATTTGGCAAGGTTGGTCAGTCATGTGGCATGTCAGATCTGGCCTTCTGGACACTGTGGAAGGTTAGCCCCTCAGCCTGTAGGAGTGGGCAGGGCCAGAAGAGTATGGGGACTGGGCAGAGGAGAAGAGCCTGGTGCATCTGCCGCTTGCCAGTTTCTTCCTGTCTGATGGTGTCTCTCTCTCTATCACACCACAGGTCTCCTGAGGCCCAACAGAGAGTTGGCGGTTGTTTCCTGAGCCTGATGCCGCAGATGAGGACCCTGTACCTCGCTTACTGTGCCAACCACCCATCTGCTGTGAGCGTCCTCACAGAACATAGGTTTGTTGACTGAGACGTCTGGGCCAGAAGGGAGGTGGGCAGCTCTGAACCTCTAGATACCACATGCAACAATGTTCATACTAAATGAGCCCAACACGCACGCACGCACGCACGCACGCACGCACGCACGCACGCACGCACGCACGCACGCACACGTGCATACTCCTTCCAACAAGGCCACTCCTACCCCAACAAGAATATACCTCCAATAATGCTACTCCCTATGTGTCTATGGACCATTTTCATGAGGGCTTGGATTTGGGCTCCAGCACCCATGTTACAAATGCTGAACATGGCCACATGTATAACTCGTGGAACCCCATTGCTGTGGATGGCAGAGACAGGAGGATTGCTAGAGTTTGCTGGCTGCTAGACTGGCTGTAGGTGAAATGAGACGTGTAGTGTCGCAGGGTTATGGTGGAGAGTAATAGAGCAGGACGCCCAACGTCCTTGTTCATGTGTGCCTGCACATGTGCACACCTGTAGACACATGTATGTACACCCTCCCCCAGCCAAGCAACCAACAGGAAAACAAGAGGGTCCTTCTGAAGTCTCCTTTAGTCTGAGACCTTTTCTTTGGTGGAGATCCTGGAGGGAGCCGGTAAGTGCTTAGGAAGTTGCTGCAAGCCATGTTGAGGCTTCAGAAATGAGCTTTCTCGGGCGGTGGGAGAGCTGGGGACTGGGTTGGGTTGGGGCAGTTGTGAGAGGTGCGCCTGTTTCAGGTGAGGACTCTTTGTAGGCAAACCACTCAGCTGCAGACCGCTCGCTTGAGCCGTTCAGTCCGATAGGAAATTGATGTGCTCCTGCACATCACTTGCTTTCTGTGGTACCAGCCGTCGCCGTGAGTTGGGAGGAGAGATTGCTGGGTGTTGGAGGTGTTTTGGGGTAGTCTCGTTAGGGTGAGTGCTGGTATCATGCCAGGTGATGGAACAAATGTCTAGCGAGCTCAGGATCGTCTTCTGATGCTAAAAGAGGCACAGCATTTCTATTCTATTATCACAGCAACTTTATTATTATTGGTGGTTTCTTTTATAAATAGCAGTTCTTTATATTCAAAGATACTAATGGAAAAGTATTCATCGGCATCCAGTTACATGTGCTTTTTATTTCTTAATGGGACATTTTGATTTAAAATTAGGAAGCACAACAAGTAAATACCTTGGGTGAACTGGCCTCACCTGCCTCCCTAGAAATGCAGCAGAGGCCAGAGTGGCGGAGCCCTTGCTCCTAGGGTTGAGATGAGCGTTAGTGGACCGTGCACGCGTCACTCACGGCGGAGCACGTGCAGTAAGGGCTCGGATTTGTTGTCTGACCTGGGTAAGAAAAGTGAGCGACCCGGACCTTTTCTGCTCCTTGGTGTGCTCAGGTGTGCAAGGAACACGGTGTAGCTCCTGTGTGTTTCACACCGCAGTTCTGAGTGCAAGGGAGGGAGGGAGGGCTGGAGCGCTTCACCGTCAGAGGTGAAGTGGAAGCCTGCACGTTGGCCCCTGTGTTCTCGTCCTTCTGCTCTGGGATGGGCTGGGTCAGCCTCTTGTTCTCTTTAGCATAAAGCTTATGTTCAGTCACACGTTACATTGACTCCTTGAGCTTAGAAGTTACGAAATTTCACAAAAGCAAAGCCCAGGTTTTAAGTTTGTGTCTCTAAATACTCTGTAGGAATTCTTGATGTAGTGAAACAGGAGGTAGGGAGCAAGTGAGATGTTATTGTCCCACCCCCTGACACGTTCTGGAGAGTCAGGGTGGAGTGTGAGAACAGAAATGGCGGTGGACAGCCCTGGGCAGAGTCTGACTGACTTCTTGTGGGAGGGAGGTGGTCAAAGCAGCGGAGTGAGGAGGAGGGGGGGGCAGTCTGCTCACTTCACTCTGCTATTACCCCGGTTACTCTTCGAGTCCTGTCTGTAAGGCGAGCATGGCGTCTCAAAATAACAGGGGAGGACACAGCCGGGTGTTGCCCGGGGAGCGTCCCTGCTGCCTGTCCAACGTGGCATGCTGAGCGTGGAGTGAGGACCTGGGGTCTGTTCTGAACGGCTGGAGCAGAGTCCTGAGCCAGGGGACAGAGCAGGATGTGGTGTCTGTGTGCTCTTCTGAGGTTCCTGAGCTGTGAGGGCTCCCCCTCAGGCTGCCACAGACCCCAGCATGCTCCTGAGGCGTAAGTCGGTGCTTTGAGCCGTGCGCTTTGCTGTCTGATCGCTTCCTGCAGCAGGGCTGTCTGCTGAGCTGCTGGGCTAGCGTTTGCTTTCTCGTAGCTCTGGTGGCCCTCCAGCTGCCACACTGTGTCTGTAGATTCTGGTTTGATGCCTGAGCCTAGTCTTTGAGTGTCTAAGTAAGGTCGTTACTCAAGTCTGAAAGCTTTGCTTTTGTAAGCTGGGGCGTAGCTCACTGGTGGGAAGGCTTGCCCAGAACACGCATACCCTGGGTTAGGTTTGTTCTGCATTCTTAGGTGTGGGACTTGGGCCTCAGCAAGCGGTGCAGCCTAGCCCCAGCCTTGTGTGTGGATCTATCTCCTGATGTGAATGCCATCATCAGCTCTGTCGGTTTCCACCCGTGGGTACCTCTCCTTTGTTGTGCTGAGAGTAGACACATGGTCCTGGGGCCACATGTCCTGAATGGGTTTTAGAAGTTGTCCTGTAAGAACACATTTTCCACCAGTTTGTTACATCGTTCTGTCAAAAGAGCTGTAATGAATCGTTTCCTTTAATCACGATGCTAACGCGAAGCTCCAGGATGAATGAAACTGCCTAGGAGGTTCTGTTTCCTTTCTTTGCTGTGGATATCTTTCCTGGCAGCAGCAGCAGAATGCCGAAGGCAGATCCCATGCAGTTACCGTGGCTTGTTTAAATTGACTTTGTTCTTAGGAATTCTGGGCAGTGATGCTGTGATTCCTACTGTGACTGTGATGGCGTCTCACTAAACCCTGGACTGACTGCCTTAATGACTGGGCCGTCTCCCTGGTGGAAAAGGCTGTGGTTCCCTTGAAAGCGGGAGGCTCTGAATTAGAAAGGCAGCTTGATAAGGCTCTGCTTCATCAGCTGCTTGTTTCAGAGAAAGCTGCTCACCATCGTGCGTTAGGGAGAGCGAGTGAGGATGGAGGCAGTGTGCTTGGCAGGACTTTGAGCCTAGAACAGACAGACCCACCAGGTGAGTCGTGAGAAAGCTGTCCTCAGTCGAGGGTCTAGCAGAAACTGAAGACCCTGGGCAGTGCTGATGTTTGAAACTTGTCGTAGGAGACATGCTGAGTGGTGAAATGGCTGTGGAAGGGAGCAGAGTGTTTAAGACTTGTTTTTACTGCTCTCGGAATTGTGGGAATGCCGTTTGCCTCCACCTGCTTTCTGCGTATTCTGTGGGGATGAGAGGGGGCGACGCTGTGACTTCTCCCTCGTGCCAGAGCCTGTACCTGGCCTGTGTCTCTGCTGCTTCTAGAGAATGTGGTCCTTCCCCAGGACTGGGTGCACACCTCGGTTAGGGTGTGGCCCTTCTTGTAAGTCTGAGGTGCAGAGACAGCGGTGGAAGCTCTTACCAGTTTACTCTGGAGACCCCTGAGAGCTTGTAAAGGGTCCCATGCAGCCAGCATGTCTGGGGCCCCTTTGTCAGTGGGACTGGGTAAGATCTGTGCACTTGAGGAGAGAGTGGTTTCGGGCACTTACCACATCGCATGGTAACCGGCACATCTGTGAGTGTAAAGCTGCGGCCACCACCATCGGCCGTTTTGTCTTAGAAGAAACTAGCTCTGGCTCAGAGCTCTGGCCCGTGTCGCTAACTGGAGCCTCTTCTCTCTCCCTCCTTGCCCCTGCTGCTCAGCGAGGACCTGGGTGAGTTCATGGAATCGAAAGGTGCCAGCAGTCCTGGGATCCTGGTGCTGACCACTGGCCTCAGCAAGCCCTTCATGCGCCTGGACAAGTACCCGACGCTGCTGAAGGAGCTGGAGAGACACATGGAGGTGCCTCTGCTCCCTGGCTTGAGGCCCTGAGCCTTGTCAGACGTCCTGTCTGTGAGACTACCCCAGAGTTGTCCAGAGTTTGTAACGTAGTGCTTCTCAGGGGTCTCCTCCTCATCCAGCCCTAGAAGAAAGTAGCGTCTTCTTATTCTCATGCCCCCATCTGCCCACCAGGTGCTCCAAAGCTGCAAAGCATGGTTGTCAAGTAGTGTTGGGTATCCTGTCAGCATTTAGCTACAAGCAATAGGAGCCTGAGTTGCAAGGTGATAATGGGAACGTTTATTATAGTCTGGGATAGCAGCTTGAAGAGCTGACAGGGACCCTGGTCCTGCTTATTCCTAGGCTTGGGTGTGTCTGTGGACCTTCTTCATAACTGTTGGGCTCAGCTCTGCCCTTAGAGGGCAGGCTAGTCAGAGATGGCTGTAAGCAGGCGTGTAGCCATGCTTTCATGAGGCTTTATTTATAGAACAGCATTGCTTACTGACCCCTCGTGACAGGTTTGTTCCAAATTAATTTTCCTCAAGTTTGTTGGCGCCATGGTCCCTTAAAAGATAAGCAGCCCTCAAACACTGAGGGGCTAAGGGCTGAACAGTATCAAAAGGTTTTAGGCTAGTCTCCAGGATGCTTTCAGTGTGAAAGTTAATCATGTCTTTTTTCCCCCCACAGGATTATCATCCTGATAGACAAGACATTCAGAAGTCCATGACTGCCTTCAAAAACCTTTCAGTAAGTGATTACAGTTATTATACTTTCCCTCAGACAGTATCAGGACAGTTGCATGTTGAATTAACACCCACTGGAAGAGACACAGTAAACAAGTGACCCGTGAGTTGGATGCAGTGTTGATTGGGATGAGGTAAGGGACGCACACAGCAACAGTCCATGGCCAGTGAAGTCTCCCTCCTGAGTGCACGGTGACACCACAGGCAGAACTGGCATGGTTGGAGTTCACAGAGGACACAGCACTGTGTTTGCTGGACATGCTGAAGTCATTTAACTCCCCGCCTCCAAATCCAGGGCTCTTCAGTGACATCCGGGACACAGGCCCTCACTTGTCATATTGTCCAGCTGTGACTTAGCGACATGTTCCCGTGTATAGCTCATGTTACTTCCTCCTCTTGGGCTTGTCTGCTGGCAGACGCTGATGAAGCCAGAAGGAAGTGTTCTTCTGGTCCACTGTACATGCTTCCTGAACCCGACAGAACTGCCTGTGAAGTCTAAGGCCAGAGCACGCGTGCGTTTTGTTTCCTTGGCTTGATTCCGCCACTCCTTACAGTCACGCCGACCGTCGTTCGGCTGGTACAGGACAGTCAGTGTCAAAGCAAAAGCAGTGTGATGGGAACAAGATTCTGGAAGCTTCTGTCTGTAAACGGTTGTATGCTGTGTCCCACAGGCCCAGTGTCAAGAAGTACGAAAAAGGAAAGAGCTGGAGCTGCAGATTCTGACGGAGCCCATCCGGAGCTGGGAGGGGGATGACATCAAGACGCTGGGCAGTGTTACGTACATGTCCCAAGTCACGATTCAGTGCGCGGGAAGCGAGGTATGGGGCCCACCTCCACCACCATGCCTGTCCCACTCCTAAGGTTCTGTATTTCGGGTCTAGAATAATGGCAGGTGCTGCTGACGGTACTGAGCCTCACACTTGTGGCCCACTTTTTATCCCTGACAACATGGAGAGCTTCGATGTGTGTGTAAAGCTCACTGCAGATGGGCTGTTTGCCAGTTCATATATCCACTGGGATCAGCTTGGTCCAGAGCCCTGTGAGCTGACAGGGCGTCCACCCAAGACTGGAAGAGACCAGCCTGTGTCTCATCATGTACAGGTGTCCTCTAGGGACACTTGCGTGGCCTGGCTCAGCCTTCTCGGTAGAGCGCACTTTCGGGAGCCTAGTGTTTTATGGCACTGCTTGTGTGTACTCTGGTGTCTGCTTATGGGAGTCCTGGCTTTGATGCTGCCTTCTTAGGTGACACCTCCCAGTGGCATTTGGTGTGGACGGGTGATCATTGGGGGAGGTAGTCCATTTGATGGTGGGGCAAACTGAGCTTCACCGTCCACATAGACATTTGGACATTTGGACAGAGAAGAAGAAGAACTTGCCCTGAGTGTCACCACCACATTCCAGTGTGGATACTGTAAGGAACTGTCACTTTCTTCTTTACCACACTGACCTGAAACACTCAGATCCTTCAAAAATTTGTTCCTTAATCAGATGATTTTATGTGTGTGGGTGTTTTGCCCACATGCATGTTTTTGTACCAGGCTGTGCAGTGTAGGCCAGAAGAGGGTGTCTAATCCCCTGGAACTGGAGTTAGACAGTTGTGAGCTGCCTTGTGGGTGCTGGGAATTGAACCTGGGTCCACTGAAAGAGCAGCCGGTCTTCTTAAACCACAGAGCCATCCCCAGCCCCTTAACTATGTGATTTTTAGCGTTTGTTTTAGATAACTGCACAACATTTCCCAAAGTGCTAAGTCTCCCTAACAGTGGTGGCTATTACTCCAAAACGAATCAGAGCCGTCATGCCCTCGAGGGAAGAGGTCTTCTGCTGGTACTCCCCAGCCTGTGTGCCTCCAAGAGAACATAACAGGTCATTTCAGCAACTTCTTTATGGTACAGATACCCCCCCATTCCTGCCGCCCTTTGACTGGGTGTGAAGAGCATGCTTGGGAAAGCTGTTTACGTACTTACCACATTGAAAGGCAGTGGCTCAAAGGCTGGAGGACTCACGCCCATCTCTTTGACTTTCAGATTCTCGGGACTTGTCTCTTAGATACGTGTGTTCTCTATGACCTTTGTTACCTTGAAGCAAACGATATTTACTGCATAGGAGTATTTTAAGTTTTCCATGTCAACCAGAAGTCAAATGGATGAGAGCAACGGTTACTTAACATTTTGTCTTATTTCTCGTGTAGCCTGAAGAATCCACCTGTCCCCATCCCTCGTTAAAATTTTCTAAGTTCTTTTTCTTTGTGACATGAACAGGAAGTTACCAAGTAGTATTCAAAGGTACTCCACACAGGGCTGGAGAGATGGCTCAGTGGTTAAGAACACTTTGGATGTTCTTCCCAAGGACCTGGGTTTGATTCCCAGCACACACATGGCAGCTCACAACTATCTGTAACTCTAGTTCCAGGGGATCCAACACCTTCTTGTGGCCTCTTTGGGTGCTGTACTCATGTGGTACACAGACATACATGCAATGCAGAAAGACATTCATACACATAAACAATACAAATTAGTAAACCTTTAATTTTTTTTTAGACAAGATCTCTCAGTTACATAGCTCTGACTGTCCTAGACCTCAGTATATAGGACTGACTGACTTGAAACACAGAGATCCCCCTGCCTCTGCCTCAGGAGTGCTGGGATTAAAGGCGTGTGCCACCATACCTGACTAAACAAACCTTAAAAAAAGAAAAAGAAGACAAAGTCATCTCACAGGAGCTTGCAAGCTCAGGGTTCTTGAGTCACGTAGCACTTCCTGCTTTGAAAATGTAATGGTGTGTGCTTATTCCGTACTGACTATAGTTCTCTGGCTGTGCGAAGGGTGATGCAGACTTGGTTATACTTTGTCAGCATTTAACACTGCTCGTATAATTTGGTAGAAATCTCAATTAGGAAATACAGTGTGTGGTCCACGGGTCTGGACTGAAGCTCCGGACACATTTCTGAATAGTTCTTTCTGATGTAGGAAAAGAATGAGCGATACCTCCTGCTCTTCCCAAGCCTTCTGCTCATGCTGTCTGCCAGTCCCAGGATGAGTGGTTTCATCTACCAGGTAAAGACAGTTACTTTGATGCTTCCTTGTTTGTGGTGGATGTCAGAATTGTTTTCAGGATGCTTTTGAATTTATGGATTCATATTGGACGTGCCTGTAAAGGCACAGTATGTGGCACTATAACGTCACGACTGTGCTTTTACCTGTGAGTTCACTTCCGTTGCGTCTTTCCGTGTGACTGGAGAGAAGTGTACATTTGTGAGCAGTCCATGCCGGTCTCTCTCACCGACTGCGTTGTCCCTGCAAAGGACGTTGCTTCTCTGGGCTTTCATGTTCTGTTGTGCACAGCCCAGGTCCAGCTAGGTGCTGGGGGCTCAGAAAGACTGTTGTAAGGGACAGAACACCCCAGACAAGTACACCGGGTGTGTCACCCGGTCATCTAACCTTTTGTAACTCATCATTTAATGTCTTAGTTTTTAGTCATTTCCCGGAGGAAATTTTAGATCTGATTGTAGGAGAAAGCTTGCGGGGCTCTTTTTGTTGCCATAGGAACTAGTGGTGGGCCCCGGGCTGCTAGGTAGGTCCAGGAGGTGCTCCTGGAGTCCAGCCTCCGCATCGGCTCTAATGTCAGTCACTGCTTCGCCTTCAAGTGGAAGGAGTGTAGAGTCATGGGGGCAAGGAGTGGCTTGGTCTGCCCCGGAGGGTTGTCACCACTGCTGTGTCACCACTGCTGTGTCACCACTGCTGTTCCCAAGGAGTGGCTTGGTCTGCCCCGGAGGGTTGTCACCACTGCTGTTCCCAAGGAGCCTTTGTAGATGGCAGAGTAGGTAGGTGTGAGAAGACTCAGAATGGAAGGCCCCCTGAGGAGAGGGTAGTGGCTGAGGTGCCAGAGTGGCAAGTCCCCTTGGGAGGTGCCTCTTCCTGGTTCCCATTCATGCCCCAGAGCCTCAGCCTCGGCTGGTACTTGTCCCGGGATCATCTGTTGCTGTGGCATGCCTTGGAGATGGTACCTCAGCAGCAGGATGCCGTCTTTGCACTCCAGACAGCTCCTGAGTTGGTGCTAATCAGCCCTGGTGACGGGCGTCACCTCCAGTGCTCATCTCTGCAGGTGGAGCACTGACTGCTGGCCCATGGGCATGCATGCAACCCCAGTACCTGGAGGCCAAGGGAGAAAATGGAGAGTTTTGAGGCTGGTATGGACTACATAGCAGGAGCTGTCTTAAAAGAAAACACCAGACTACCTGCTGGTCTTTGGGGATGCCAGCACTGGCAGTGGACCTAGGTTCCATAAGCTGGAGATTTAAGCTGCACCAGGGAAGGCATGCAGACAGCCCAGCCTCGGCCGTGGAAGTACAGCCGTCTGCTGGGCTCCCAGCTTCGCCCTTGGCTGTTTGGAGTGGGTGTTTTGTGTTTTAACCTGGAGTAGGGCACAAGGTGGGGAACTGTCCTGTGCAGTGCTGGACATTGGCAGCCTCTCCAGCCTCCGCTATCACATAGCAGGGCTTCCTGCCAGGTTCTGACACTGCTCCATGTTCCCTGAGCCCAGGTCAGCAGGTGTCCTGGCCTGCTTTGGACTGCTGTTTCCACCGTAACCAAAAGAAACCCGAGAGTCAGGGGTGTTTGGCTTACCTGTCCAGATCACAGTCCGTCACTCGAGAAAGTCAAGGCAGGAAAGCGGGGGCAGAGGCGGGGACTACAGAGCAGTGCGGCTTGCTGCCCAAGGGTAGTGCTTCCCATTGTGGGCTGGGCCTGCTGCATCAGTCACCAATCAAGAAAGATGCCTCACAGGCTTGCCTATGGACGACTGGGCGGCTGGCAGTTCCTTCTGGGGTTTCTGCTTCCCAGGCGTCCCTAGCTTGTAGCTAGTTGACAAAAACCTATTAGCATGAGTACTACTATCCTGCCTGCTGGTAAAGTCCTGCCTTTGGCTAACCGTTGTTTCCTGGGCCCGAACCCATAGACTGTAAAGATGTGGTCTTTGGCCACCAGGTGTCACAGTTGGTGTGGTTTGAAGAAAGCTGTTGGGTGCTGAGCTTTGTTCCCTTCCGGTTTGCAGCTGACATTTCCTGCCGTGTGGGGAGCCCCAGTCCTGTTTTCACAGACAGCTTGACTGCCGCCCTGTGGCCCTGTGTGAGCTCCTGTGGTTTCCGTTTGACAGAGGAGAGCGCACAGTCCGTCAGTGTGTGTTCTTGTCTCTGTCCTGTCAGCTGGGCCTCACACTCAGAACTCCTCTTTCTCGTGAGGCCACGTGCGCTCTGCTGCAGTGTGGCCCTGGAAGCAGGACCGGCTTCCGTCTTCTGCCCACTGACTGCCCACTGGATAAAGTCCTGCTTTGTGTCATACTCCACCATTTTGCCGGTTTGGGTTCTTCACCGTTTGATCATTATTTAAGGTGGTAGCCCTTTCGTACACATGGTTCTGCTGCCATGTGTAAAGTCATTTAATGTTTCATGTCGCCTTCTTTATTAGAAACGCATTAATTGTTTGGGGGATCTCTTTTAGGGAAAGCTACCAACGACAGGAATGACAATCACAAAACTTGAGGACAGTGAGAACCACAGGAATGCATTTGAGATATCAGGTAATGTGCCCAAAGCTTGTGCAGACGCTGTGTCCGAGTGAGGAGAGGCAGCCGGTCCTTGAGTGTTAGGGTGGCCTCCGGTTCTGGGTGTCTGTATGTGCTTGTGTGCGTTCACTTTAATTCCACCTCCTCCTCCTCTCTAGGGAGCATGATCGAGCGGATCCTGGTGTCTTGCAACAACCAGCAGGACCTGCATGAATGGGTGGACCACCTACAGAAGCAGACGAAGGTTACGTCTGTCAGCAACCCCACCATCAAGCCCCACTCTGTGCCATCACACACAGTAAGAGCCACCTAGCTTCCTTTCTGGGCCCTCACAGTGGTGTCCCAGGCTGAGGCTGTCTGTGGCTGTCCGTGGCTATCCGTGGCTGTCCGTGGCTGTCCATGGGTGCAGGAGTTCTAAACCCTGCCTCCTGCTCCTGCAGCAGTCATCACAGAGCAGACCGCCTCACAGACACTTCCAGGTGTGCTCTCTAGCTCAGTGATGCTCAGAGCTGCCTCACAGGGCTCTCACTGCACCCCGGGAGCCACTGGCCTGTAGGGGATTTTTTTTGAGGATTTAAAACTTTATATATGGTATTCAAAAACAAAAAACTCAAAGAGAAGTAATAGTGGTGTTACAAGGCATGAGACAGAGCTCCTGACTGACTATAAGAATGATAGCGTTGGGCCTGGGCTCAGGTGGTGGAGGTCTTCCTTAGCACAAAGTTGGATTCCTAGTGCCTGCTGCATAAGCTGGGTATGGTGGCACAGGACTATCTTTCCAGCACTTGGGGGGTCGGGGCAGGAGGATCTGAAGTTCACAGTTATCCTTGGCTGTATGTTAAGGCCATCCTGGGTCATTACTTGAGACCCTGACTCCAAACAGAGACAAAACAAAACTGAGAATAACAACTCCCCCCAAATCATTTATTTTTCACTTAATAAAAAACTCAGCAGCAGTTAGGATTCGTTAGAGATACAAATTTCAAAATACCTCAACATTGGTGTTTAAACTTTGGTGTGAACATTTTTGCTTGAGAAGTTGGCGTTATCTTAAAACTTAACCGTTTTTGTTGAAAAACCGAACAAACCTTTCAAAAACGACCTTTGCTGACACAGTTTATGGTTATCGATTTTTCTCCCTTCTTTGTGTGACTCTTGTGACAGTTTCTGCCGTGTAGTTCATTTTTCCCATCAACACTTTCATGCAGCGGGTCGTCATGGCCCTAAGAGCACAGCTCTGCCATGTGGCTCTCTTTCCACTCCCGGTCTCACACCAGGCTCCGGTGTTGGGATCCTGCTGTCTTGTCTCCGCAGTGGGAGCTTCAGTGCCTTACTGTGTTAGCTAGGGCTTGGGTCTGTTGGGCTGCACTCCATAATTCTCCTTACTCCAAAAGGTCCTCTAGAGCCCAGTGGTGGTCCCAGCATTCAGGAGGCAGACGCAGGAGGATTTCTGTGAGTTCGAGGCCAGCCTGGAGTTCCGGAACAACCAAGGCTACCCAGAGAAACCCTGTCTTAAGAAAGCAAAAAAACTAAACAAAATTAAAGGTCCTGAAGAGAAGGCTGGAAGTTGGGGGTGTGGCTCAGTGGTAGAGCATTTGCCTGATGTTGCAAGGTGCTGGGATCAATTCCCAGTGCCACCAAAATAATACAAAAGTAAAAACCACTTAGCTTTTGAGCGGTAAGTTTATCCCAGGGACATGGGTTGCCCGAGTGAGTGTGTACAGAGCAGCAGAGTGAAGTCAGGCTCCTCACACCTGTCACATAGACTGCCGTGTCCGGGCACTTGGTGTCCCAGCATTTGATGGCATGTAGTGGAAGCCAGAAGATAGCCTGCCATGGCAGCTGTGGAGTCCTCCTCCGACAAGGTGCCTGCCTCTCGTGCTAGTGCAGGGGCACAGATGTCCCTGGAACCGGTGGCCTGTGTTTTCTGCCTGGGGTCCAGTTCTGTCCGGCATCAGTTAATCTCTCCTTCTAGCTTCAGGCGTCACTCTGCTTCTCCAAGTAAGGAGAGCCAAGCCAGCCTTTAGTTATTACCACTTTACTGCTACAGGGGCATGGGGTACAGCCTTCTCCTCTGGGTTAAAGCTTGTTTTGAGAAAGCTTGTTTTGTAGGGTATAGTGTCTGTAATGTGCCATGCGCCAGCCACTAGTGGGTGACCTGGCACGTTGGTGCCACAGCCTTCACAGCCCGCACAGTCTTAGGGTTGTACCTCACCAGCATTCAGTTCCCAGAGCTACGCAGCCAGATCCTGGTGGTTGTGTACTAACTGCATCAGCTGCGTGAGATCCAGGGGCACATTTGAGTCACACTTACTTTATTAACGTTTTCATTTCATTGTCAGTGTGGTTGGTTTTGGGGTTTTCTAAGACTATAGACCTTATTAATAACATATCCCACAGATTTCATATTACTGTTTTTATTCAAATAAGCTGGGATTTTTAAGAGAAAAATGCCGTTATTTTAGAGATTAACATCCTTCTATGTAGGCCAAATGGTCCGTATTTCTGTCTTCGCACAGTTCTGTGGCAATGGGGTTTGCCCAAACAGGAAAGAGCCGTAGATAGGATGGGCCTGGCTGCTGTGTCCCAAGAAAATGGCTCTCTCCTTTTCCCTGTCTGCACGAGGAGCAGGCCTTGGTTCTGCCCTCTTCCTGTGTTAGCAGGTGATCGTGTATTTCCGGGAGGACGCCCCAGCGTCAGCCATCATGCTCCATTCGTTCATTTGGATGTTGTGATGCTCACACTAGTTTTCTTACACACTGACATCACAGCTGTGACCTGTGTAGAGTGTGGATCTCTCAGCTCCGTGTCCTGCCCAGAACCCTGGGCAGCATGGTAGAGCGAGGGTTCGAGCCGTGTGGTTAGGGCCTTCTCCAGTGGCCTCCTCACCCATCTCACGCTCTCTCTGCTCTTGCTTTTGTGCCTGGCAGCTTCCCTCCCATCCTATCACTCCATCCAGCAAGCACGCGGACAGCAAGCCTGTGGCACTGACGCCTGCGTACCACACACTCCCCCACCCCTCTCACCATGGCACCCCACACACCACCATCAGCTGGGGACCCCTGGAGCCTCCGAAGACCCCCAAGCCTTGGAGCCTGAGCTGCCTGCGGCCTGCACCTCCCCTCCGGCCCTCGGCTGCTCTCTGCTACAAGGAGGTGAGGTCCTGCAGCCACTCCGACTGCCAGCTGCAGTGAGCGTGTCTTGACATCTGGGGGTGGGAGGGTCGCACTTAGCTCCGTTTGTCACTTCAGTGAGTTCAGAAAGGACCCCAGTGAGTCCTTCAGAACCACGAAGAGGGTTTGTCCTTACTCTCTTGTCATCCCCTTCTGCTGCGAGGGCCAGGAGGCACCTTTACATGTAACAGGATGGGCATGTTCCCCCTTCAGTATACTGGGGTAGACTGTGCCTTACTTGAGGGGTGGTGCCCAGGAGGCACCGAGCCGGAGGTGCTGTGAGCATGGGAGGCTGCTAGGGCCTCCCTGCTGCACGCCATTCTGCTGCTGCCCAGACCTGCCCTAGAGTGCTGAGGCTGTTGGGGGTCGAGAGTAGGCTCCCCAGTGAAAATGGTGCAGCCCTGAGGGCAGTGCCTCCCTGGCCCTGGAGGGGTTGCTGCGCCTCCTCCACCCATGCCCGCTCTCTCCCGCATGCCTGCCGAGTGCAGCCCAGCGCACTTATGTCTTCACTAAGTGTCCGCAGTTTCACGCCCCACCTAACCCTGCTCCCACCCGAGGAGGCTCAGCTCTGGTGAGTGTGAGAGGAAGCCAGGTGACCGGCCAGTCGGTGTGAGCCTGGACGTGGTGCTTGTAGGAGAAGAGTGAATGGAGCGTGCGCAGGTCTTTCTGTAGGTGTTCCTGTATTTCAAGGGGTGCTCTCTTGAGTCCACAGTAGGGTTCTTTCGGAACTGATTTCTGTCTAAGGCCATTCTCTATTCTGTAGGAAGTTTGAGGCCAGCATGGGCCACAAGAGAGAGGTTTCACAAACGAAGTCAAGCAGGGTGTGATAGCACATGCCTTTACTTCTAGCACCCCCGATGCAGACAGGAGGAGGGTCTCTGAGTTGGAGGCCAGCCTGATTTTCTGTAGCGAGTTCCAGGCCAGCTAGGACGCCATAGATCGTCCATCTCAAAGCAGCAGTGACCACAAGGGAAGACGGAGGAGGTAGCTGTCAAAGTCTGCTCTGCCCTGGAAGTGCTTCACCTGCACTGGAATGGCAGCCGTGGAGGCGGGTGTCTGTGCCGCCCCATGTGCCCCGTGGAACCCTTATCCAGCGCTGCGCGCACTCCCCTTCACCTTAACGGAAGATGCTAAGATGCTGTTGGACAGCGTCTCTACTTTGTTCAGAGCCGGGACACAGGCAAGCACAGAGAAGCCAGCGAGCCCTGCTTCCGATAGTCCGTGCTTAGCCATTGGTTCCCTGCCTGCTTCCTTTGCTTTTAACTTGGGGATTTGTGTATTTTCCTGACGGTGTCTTTGCTTTCTGTTCTTTTTAAATGACCTGTTTTCCTTCACTTACACCCTAGAGTGGACAGCCCTGCCCTGGCGGTGGGGAGTGTCGTGTGGGCCCCCTGTCCTCTCTTTTTCAGCAGAGGCCTTACTCTTGTGGGATGGTGGGGTCCAGTCCTGTTAACAGGGTTTTCATCAGAGCGGAGGAGTGTTACCAGGATGGCAAAACGTCGTCGTCATCTTGGCTCTTGGTTTGGGTCCATGTTGGCACTGGCAGAGACAAGCGGAAGAGCTGGTGATGGGGGTGGGAGGTACTTGGTGGTGTCCGGCCGGTTTCCTACCGTCTGTCAGCATGTTTTGTCGTTGGTGTTTCCCCAGGATCTTAGTAAGAGCCCCAAGACCATGAAAAAGCTGCTGCCAAAGCGCAAGCCCGAGCGGAAGCCTTCAGACGAGGAGTTTGCTGTGCGCAAGAGTGAGTGTCCACCTGTGGGAGCGCGGCCACCTCGCGGGTCTCAGGGCCACGCAGTGGAAGAGATGTCCTTCCCATAGTGACAGGACGGGGCCAGCTGGGCTGCACCTTGACGAGCAGGGGGCAGAGTGCAGCAGGCCTCGCCAGCCTCCCTATCCTTTGTCAGACCCCTCTGTTGTGTTCACACCCTTCGTTCCAGTTCCGCTGCCTCGTCACCTGCTCTTGCAGCCCCGCTCCAGGCCCAGGAAGTGTCCAGTCCACATCTCCGAGGGGCTGTGGTTTCCTGCCACCTTTGCTCCACCCTGCAGACCTACGATCTGTTCACTCACCCCGGCTTGTCTGTTAGGAAGGTGTGGCTGGGGGCCCTTAGGGAACAAGTATCTGCCGTGTGTCTTCCATGTGACTGGCACGGTGGGGTGCTGGGACAGGGATGTTGGTCAGACTTGCAGTCACTAGCAGACATTGAATGCTGCTTTGTATCCAGCTGTGGGACAGGCCATGAAGGCCAAGTCCACAGCACTGGTCCTCAGGTGGGTAGATCTGCCCAGGAGACGTGGATCAGTGCTAAGACACTTCACTTGTCCCAGCCAGCTGCCTGTTGTTGGCTCTGCTGGTGGAGACGGAGGATGCTGTGGAGCAGCCTGCAGCCTGCATAAGAGTTGACACAGATACGGAGCCCAGCTTCTCGATGCAGCACCCCTCCTGGGTGGGGTGGGGAGGCTGAGGGGCCGTAGCCGGCCGACTGGTGCGTAGTAGAGTGCAGTTGGCAGGGTGGACTTACGTTGGGAGACACAAGCCTGGCAGCAGGACTGAGTGGCCAGTGGGCCTGTGGTTCTGATGATGAGAGAGGTCTGGGCTAGCTGAAGCCGGAGGTGCTCAGAGGTTGGAGGAGAGGCAGTCTAGTGCCTGTGTCCTTTCCCAGAAGTCCCAGCAGGTTAGGGATGATGTGCCAGACCAAGGACCCGGGCCTGACCGGTGCCCGGCAACCTCACCCCTGTACAGCTTCTGTTGACTGGCTGAGTTGGGTTCGCTTGAAGGTCAGGAGGCTCCACAGTCTGCGGCAGTCCACACTGAAGGAACGGCCCCAGCAGGACCTCTGCTGCTAGGGGAGACCGACTGGCATGGCTATGGACACAGTGAGCCTGCCCTCTGCCCTGGTGCGGTGTGCATGTGCTCACCCAAGTGTGGGAAGAGCAGCTGGTTACAGCAGCCAGCTAGTGCACACCTGACTGAAGGTGGCTCCTGCTGCCCAGAGTGAACGAAGCTTTTGCTGCAGCCTGTGAGGTAGCCATGTGTTGTGGGAACCTGGTTCTGTGAGGTAGCCATGTGTTGTGGGAACCTGGCTCTGTGAGGTAGCCATGTGTTGTGGGAA